TAAATAACTAATACTCTCTCTCTCTCTCTCTCTCTCTCTCTCTCTCTCTCTCTTATTTATTTAAATTCACGATTCTGAACTTTTTGATGAATTTAGAATGAGAAAGAGGACGATCGTCGAGAACTCGATCCGTTTTAACTCACCTCTTCGGATCGGGCACGGTGCAAAACGATCTCGGGCGCCGTCTGAAGTAGGAACTTTCGATCCACTCCGCCTCGTCCTCGAGATCATACCGCGACAGACCGCGGGAGTAGGTCGGGTAAGGCTGACGGTACATAATTTGGAGGGGCCTCCGGGGATAGGGTGCGTCGCAGAGGTTCTCGTCGCTGGGGACGCTACGCACGCACGCCGACAGGATGGAATTCCTGGTGGAGCTGCACGGGGACGGTCCCCTCGTCGACAGGCACCCGAAGAAGCCGCCGCCGGACTTCTCGACGGCGTCCAACTGCCGGCTGGTGATGCAGTACTGCTCCTTGATGTCCTCGCGCGAGTACAACGGCGTCGCCCGACGATCCCAGGAGTCCATAACGCCGCCAGGACCGCCGAAGCCGCCGTGGAGGTCCACCTGCGTCGAGACGTCCACCTGTCGCAAAACAGGCGCGATTACACACCCCCTCCCCCCGGAAACGTAGACGAGAACGGATTCCGACGGATGGCGGACGTTGATTGACGCACAGTGCGATCTACGTGATAGGAGATATGTGATAGGAGTAGATATATCAGAGGAATCACATCATGCGCGAATCTACCGATGATTTGTACAGCTACTTGCTGATAGGCGGTAGTGCTTTCGACGATACCGCTTGCCGAGGATGTAATCTTACGCTGAAAATTAGGACAAAAAGGAACAAGGTCTTTCGGAACGAGAAACTAACGTATCTGGGAAAAATACTTGAAGATTAATCGCAAATATTATTAGGAAAATTCTCCGAATGGAATGAATTTGCTGAAAGTATTTTTATGCGGATCTCTCCCCTTTGATTTTATCAATTATTAAAATTACAATTATATTATGAAGTTTTTATATTCACTCTCTCGCTTTATCTTATGATGACGATTAAAATTTAAATTACAGAATATTGATTATCAATATTATTTCCGATTCCGACAGGCAAAATCTTTCAAGAAATGCAAGAAATTTATCGGTAATATTAAATTTCCAGGAAATACCTGCTGGAAACGTGATATTCAATATTCAAAACAATGGTTTTAAAATATCATTTGTTATAGATGTTAAAACTTCTTGTAAAAAAAAAAATGAGAAAACAAAGCGAGCGTGCGGGGGAAGTATTGTCTTCCGCGGGGCAGTTAAAAATTGTATCGGTCTTCGATCGACTACGGTAAACTGCTTCATTCATTGAAGTTCCATAGCTATGTACGACTCATTGTGCCGAGCTACGTTATCGGAAATCGCAATAGTCGCTACATTAAACTTCTGTAATTTCCCGGACTTCATTACCGTTCTTGCATTATTCCTTTCCTAAGCATGGAGTTCCGTTATCTTCTGCTACCGCGGCACTGGTGGTGATGGCATTGTAGCCATCTAACGTCTATCGTATTATCAGTTTCCGGTAACAAGATTCGTTTGGATTGTTCTCTGTTTAGTGAAGATCAACGAGGTGGACGCGGAAAAACGATTTCCGTCATCGCCGAACGAAGAACATTTCTCTCGAGGAGACTGACCTACATATGGCCGCAGGATTTTGAAGCGCGAACAACGCTCCTTACTCTTCAAGAATGAGAAAACGACTAGAGAATATTAATAATATTATGAGAAAAAAAGCTTTTATGAGAAGAAAAGTTAATCATTATTACTCTCATCACGATATTAGCATTTTTTTAAAATTAATTAAGGAAAATTTGTGAATAGTATGATAAATAAGAATTACTGTGTACTTATTTAATAATAATATAATAAATGTATATATATACGAATAAAAATCGAAAGGTATAGAAAGAAAAGCACATTACATCGAGAATTTTTTCCTCAAAATTAATTAAAAGATCATAATTTTCGTAAGTGTATTTATTTGTTCATTATCGGAATATTTTATGTATAAATTTAGTTGTTAAATATATAGCCATAATAATCTTTTTAAGTATAATGTTATTT